AAAAAAAGAAAAATAGTAAAAAAAAAAAAATATAGAAAAAAAAATCAAACTAATAAGCAATTCCTTGAGTGGTATTTGTAATTATGTTTTTTTTTTTTCGTTGAGTCAAAAACACAACATAACACAACACAAACAAGCCTTTGTATATTTGCTCGACGTTGTGCATTGTTATAATCGAAGATTATATATTATATATATATAATATATTATATTATATTATATTATGGGATGTTAAAACAATTTTTCCGCTTTAATCCGTGGGGAATCTTTCAAAAAAAAAAAAAAAAAAAAACAAACAAAAAACAAATAAAAAAAATTTATATTTCTCGAACTTCGTCGTAAAGTAAAAAAAATATGAATTCTTCGCATTGACGTGTACAATCTCTAATTTTTTATACGTATGTACATTAATGCACATAATGTACATTGCTCTGTATGAATTTATTCTCCGTTTAAGATTATTATTTTCGACTGATGATGATGATGATACGTATATATATATATATATATATATATATATATATATACATATATAGTGTATGTACGTGCTGTGCAAAAGTGTGTAGCGTTAAAACGACAAATCACTTTTGAACCAATCGTTAATAAAAAGAAAAAAAACGCGCATGCATTTATTTCCTTCATGGATATAATTATGTATGTGTAAACGTATTAATTCTTTCGCTGCGAACAGCGCCTTTTGGCGCTCGACTATGAACACTTACCCTGAGCGAACAGCGCCTTGTAGCACCGTGAATTTGATTTACGAACGTTAATCAAACAACCTACTATTGCGCCAGCTTGCTGCATTTCATTTTTAGGCGCATTCGCAGCGAAAGGGTTAATAAGATTGATAAAGGATTATGTGTAACTAATTTGGAATCGTATCAGACTTGATCTTCTATCGCAGTAGGCATGAATGATCATCACACATTGTCTGTTAATCTAGATTCAAATATTATTCGGCAAAAAAAAAAAAAAGCGTATTAATCTAACATTACGAAAAAAAAAAAAATAAATAAATAAATAAAATTATCAAATATGCTGTGTTTTGTATGTAGATGCGTCGTAATAATTCTAAATATGTATTATATAAATAACGCTCGAATAAAATCTAAGATGATATTGATATACGGATTGCAAACGTACAAGCTAAAAAAAAAAAAAAAAAAAAAAAAGAACAGTTTTGTTTTATTTCTTCTATGATAACACTTGATGACAAACTTGTGTGTTGTTGTTATTCTATTTATTATTTATTGTATACCACAATACTCACTTCCCAAATTTATCCTAATTATTTATTATTATTATTTTTTATTCATTTATTTATTTATTTTATTGCATCAAGAACATGATGATGAAGTATTTTGCGCATTCCTTAATATGAAACAAAAAAAGATATTGAACAAAAAAAAGAAAATAAATATTATTTTTATATATATTTCATAAATTATGCATATAATTTCGTATTAATTATTTATTACATATATAAGTATGTTTTTTTTTTATTTTTTTTTTTTTTTTTTATACAATATGGAGTCATCTTAAGTGAACTATTTTGATAGAACTGGCGA